TTGTGGAAATATAGTGAAAACACTGTAAACCAGAATGCACAGGATATACTTAAAGTACTGACCAAGGAAAGATAATAGGTATAAATATTTTAAAAATTTAAGAGTAAAACAGTGTTTGGCTGTGAGTCTCTGCATCTGTCTATCCATTACTGGATGAAAGCTCTCTATTTACAATTGGGGTAGTCCTCAATCTGATCACAGGAGATGACTAGATCCACTATTGCTAGGAGTCTTAACTGGAGTCATCCTTGTAGATTAGTGGGAGTATAGTTTTCCCCACCAGCCGCTTGGGCCCTGCCGTGTTGTCTGTACCCCCAAATAACTCACAGGACACTGTATTAATTATGAAGCTGTTGGCCGTTTGCTTGGTTTCTTACTGGCTATCTCTGACTTAAGTATTTACCTCATAATTGTTAATCTAAGTATTTCTCTTACCAGAGAAAGAGTCTGGACTTCTTACCCCTATGGCAGCTACATCGTGGCTCTCTGTGTTTCTCCTTCCCAGAATCCTCCTCAACTCCTAGTCCCACCTATCTTGCTTCCCTATTGGCCAAACATGCTTTATTCAACAACCAATAAGAGACAGATTTCAGAATGACATCTCCCATCACTACCTGATGCCAAAATGCTCCCTCCTCCCAGTCATCTCTTTCAGCACCCCCCAATGCAATTCCTCAAGTTCATATCCCCACTTACCCCAAGTCTACCCAGGAGATATCTTCTATTTCCCCTTCCTAGGAAGATCCATGTATCATCATCCCCTCCCCGCCCTCCACTTGGACCCTCATTGTTACCTAGTCTTTCTGAGTCTATGGATTGTAGCACAATTATCCTTTACATTGTAGCTAATATGAGTGATTACATACTATGTTTGTCCTTCTGGGCCTGAATTATCCCACTCAGAATGTTTTTCTTCTAGTTCCATCCATTTGCCTTCAAATTTCATGATTTCATTTGTTTCTAACAGCTTAGGAATAGACCATTGGGTAAATGTACCACATTTTCATTATTGATTCTTTGGTTGAGGGGCATCTAGGTTGTTTCCAGGTTCTGGCTATTCAAAATAAGGCTGCTATGAACATAGTTGTGCAAGTGTCCTTGTGGTATGATTGAGCATCCTTTGGGTATGTACCCAAGAGTGGTATGGTTAGATCTTGAGGTAGATTGAGTCCCAATTTTCTGAGAAATTAACATACTGATTTCCAAACTTTAGGCCAAGCTCAGGGAATCCTGCTGAATAGAGGGAGGGAAGATTGTAGGAGCCAAAGGGTTTAAGGACATCACAAGAAAACCTACAGAAACAACTAATCTGGCTCATAGGAACTCACAGAGTCTGAACTAACAACCAGGGAGCCTGCATAGAACATATCCTGGGCCCTATACATACATACATACATACATACATACATACATACATACATACAAGAGTATTGCTTTTTGTTAGTCACTTAGAACTATATTGTGTATTTAACATAAAGCAATGGAAAACTATGTTTTAATCATTTTAAGGAAATGTAAATTTTGCTACTATACCTTATTTTAATATATTATTAAAATTTCAAGCATACAGAAAAATTGAAGTACATGCCAGCACTGCTTCTCAGTCTAACAAGCACTGATTTAATGTACACAAACCTACCCTGTCTTCTATCTTATTTGGAGCACCAGAAAACTTAAACAGCCCATAAATATATATGTGAGTTACTGCTGATATTTTTCATTTAGAAACTATTTTGAGTTAGCTTAGTTCAGATTTCTGAGTAATTTTTGCAAAGTGGTATTTTGACTATTTAGCTTTGACTAAAGATAAAAACTAGTATAAGTATTGAAATGGTAGTACATCTGTTTCCATTAGTGAAGTGAAATGCAGTTCAGAAACTCCTTATACATATTCTGTGTTGAACAAATAAATACATGACGAATAGTTAAAATTAAAACTAATTTTCTTGCCTGTTGAAATTATGATAGAGGTTATAATGAAGTGTATTGCTGTGTGCTGTTGGGTTAGAATTAGAGTGGGAGTGTAACTACTGATGCTTTCATGCTTAAATACATGAATGTAGGCATTTATTTGTGGACACACATGCATGGATTTGTGGCTTTCCAACCATTCAGAGGCCCTAGAAATAGTAACATTTTAACAGAGCTGATCACACCTACAACTTAGGTTTTACTCTCTGCCATTCTCTACTAAATTGAACTATACTCTTAGAGAAGTGATTGATTTCCATACTTTCACAGAAATAAGCTATAATACCTTGTTGCTAGAAGAAAGTGATAATCCACTTCTGTTGTTCTAACAGAGTTCCTGAAGCTGGGTAATTTGTATAATGGAAATGTATTGCTCACAACGTTATAGGATAAAGTGTGCAGCCAAGGTAGCAGCAGGTTCAATAGCAGTTAGGGCTTCTCTATGGTTTAAGATGGTTCTTTATTGCTGCACCCTTCCAAAGGTATTAATGCTATAACCTCACATGACAAAAAGTGCAAGAAATAACTGTAGTAAAAATACAGGTTCTAAAATTATTTGGTAAGAGTCCACACCCACTCCTGGAGAAACTGTCAATTACTGTGGCTTCTTTAGATAAACAGTCTTCTAGTTCCTCAATAAGTTAGAGTTATCATCTGATCTTCTACTTCTTCCCATTCCTAGACATATACACAGAGAATTCGATGTGTGTGTACACGAATGTTCAGAGCATCAGCATTTGTGATAGGTACAGAGTGGAAGCAGCTCAAGTGCCCATCAACTGCTGAAGATATAAAAGGTGGTCTAGCCGTACAACAGAGCCCTGGTCAGCAGTAAGATAGTGAATAATATAACATAGACTAATCTGGACAGCATTGCTTTGCTTGAGAGGAGGAGATCATGGAGTACTATGTGCGCCTTTTACAGGAAATGTGCAGAACAGATCATCTGTTAAGGCACATAGTAGAGTGGTGGCTGCCTAGTGCCTGAGGGAATGGGGTATAGGTAAGGATGGGTTAATAAGATGTGTGGGGTTTTTTAATGATCTGTGTTGATTGTAGAGATTGATGTACAACTACGTAAGACATTTTAAGCTCACTGAGAAATCATATGTAAATATTCTTAGCATAATCTGCCAATGTTTTTACCCTGTATAAGCTGCTGTTAGGAACTGCTTGTGAAATACTTTTAAAAGCAGCATTCATGTTTGGATAGACAAAATGTATGAAATCATGTATTTAGTCTGTGCTCAGCATTACTGATCAACACAGTAGCAAAAAAAATGTTGGAATCATCTAACATTTAAAATATTATGACTGGATATTCTTCTTTATTTTGTGTATATCAGTGTTCTGCTTGCATGTATGCCTGGTACCATGGAGGCTGGAAGCAGATCCCCTAGAATTGGAGTTCAGATGGTTGTGGAATACAGATTTGTGTGCTGGGCTCTCTGCAAGAGCGGAGTGCATTCTTAACCACTGTGCCATCACTCCAGCCCCCAGAATTACTCTTAGAGTCATGTCTTAACTGAAGAAGGAAAGCTGGTTACAGATGTACACGTGACAGAGCTGAGATTGACTGAGTGATCGGTGGATGGTGGTGCTGTTTGCTAACTGTTCTGTCAGCTTTTATAGGCAAAAAAAATCTCTTTTTCCGTCACTTATTTGAAAATATCATTTTAAAAAGGTAATGTAGTGATTTTTGTCTAGAATTGGGCCTGTGATGGCTTTAAAATTTAGATTCTTGACATAATAAAAGCTTTATTATGTCCATAGGAAAAATTAAAGACCTCCACATTTTAATTCAGGTAACATTTTTCTCACATTTTAATGAAAACAAAGTTTTTCATGAAATATGTTTCAGTTATTCATCACATTTAGGTGAATAAGATGAAAAGCAGAAGCTTTGGCGACAAATACATCTATATTTTCTTTTTATCCTTCAGCCATGTGCTGTACTGCTAGAGAAGTGCTAATAGTTTCTCCAGGTGAATGTGTATAGATGATTCACAGTTTTAATGACATCAGTCAGCATGGCACTCAGCCTTGTTTATTATTTCAGCATTCAAAATTAAATTCATCAAACTATCATAGAAAAATAATTACAACAAAACCTTTGGCAGAGCAAATAGTAGTCTTTAGTTGATGCTGCAACGATAAACGGCACACTTATTGGGAGTATAGGTAGAAATTACTCACAAGAGAAAAACAAGCAACCCAGATGAGCCGAGTATTTTTCTGCAGCCGAACTGGAAGCCGGAAAGAGGGCGAGAGGGTCTGCTGCTCAGTCTTTTATTCCTTCTTCCGTACACATCCCTAGCCATGCCCAAAAGTGGGCCTGGCTAGTGACGTAGTTCACCGCCTATGTCCGATATGTCTTTAGTCACGCCTAAAGTGGGTGTGGTTAAGTGGTGCAGTAAACCACCCTTTTATTACCTCATCTGTATGTGCCTCTAATATGCCACATGGCTAATGGTGGAGTACCAAATTTCACCCTACATTTAGTATTACTTGAACATACAGTAACATTGCCTTTGTACATTTTTCTAAATGATATTTCTAAATCAAAGAGGAGGAGCAAGTTCTGTCACCTTCCATTGCTACCTCAAGCCTTTCCTTCATTTGGCTGGATCACTTCATTTTCAGCACTTCTGTGTAACCATCTGGGTTAAAACACCTGTGTTACTTAGGATAAGCATTGACTGGTCATGGAGGAAATGACCCATTGAGGCTTTTCAGAGAGAACCCAGCCAGGCAAAACTGATGTTTTACAGGCAAGATGGATCATCAATGTGTTTCTATAAATCAGAAATTGGGAAGTGAAAATAGAGTGATCATAGCGTTGAGCCATCTGTTCTTTTAGCTGGTGATATGACCTTATAAAGACCTTTTATTATGTGAATTCATGAGCAAAATGGAATCTCAGATTTAGTACTTAGATAGTTGAATTCAGAAATACATATACCACTAAAGACTTTGAAAACTGGAAAAATCCATCAGAAACTAATCTTCTGTGTGTTGTTTTCTGGCAGGTAACAAATCACAAGACAGTGGCATAGCAGAGATGGAAGAACTCCCTGTCCCACATAACATCAAAATAAGTAACATCACATGTGACTCCTTCAAGATTTCATGGGAGATGGACTCCAAGTCAAAGGACCGCATTACACATTATTTTATTGACTTAAACAAGAAAGAGAACAAGAACTCTAATAAATTTAAACACAAGGTAAACCCCAGTGAACACTTACAGTCATTGCATCTTGAAAACAGTTTAAGTATGAAGACATTTTAAAAGAAAGAATAATTTCAATTACTTAGATATTTGACATTGAGAAGAACCAAAATTATATGTGATTTAAAACATTATTTCTATAATAAAATTTTGAAGAAAATGAAATGCCATGCAAAAGGGCAAATCATGACTCTATGCAAAGATAGCAATCAATAGTAAACTTTAACTCATTAAAGGAAATTGATCCTGTGCTATAAGGATAATTCAAGATATAATCCATTTATAAGTCAGTTATATTAAAATGTATCCAAATGAAGTCAAAACTGGCTTGGAGGGGGCAGTGGAGTTTGGAGGGGACAGGAAGGTTACCCTCCACTCAGAATTCAGTTACTCTGTGTAAACAAGAATGGCTAAAATGTTTACCGGGCTGGAAAATTCCTTCCGTTGAAGCAAAAGGAGAAGAATGTGCCAGAGGCTATAAAGAGTTTTGAAGTGGGGGGTGGTCTTTATTTTATGTAACATTTACCTGCTGGTTTTGCTGTTACTCACCCTTTGTGATACAGCTCTTCTGCCAGATGTGTCTGTTAGGAGTGTTTCTCATAGGCGTTGTTATTTTTACTCATGATGAAAATAGACATAAACCTGGTCTTTTAAAAAGATAGTGCCACTCAGTTTTAACTTGGGAAAATACAACGCATCACCTTATTTTTCTGGAAAAGCCTTTTACATTTACACAAACTATAAGTGAGGGCTTTACATGCTGGAGAAAGAACATGCTATTTATCATTATTATCAAATTCCAGTTCTGATTGTGGGTGTTCTCTGTGCTAGCATTTGACCTCTAGAAGCTTTGATATACTTAACACTCAAAGATGAATACTTCAGGGCTTGACCTCTGCTTCACCCATGGAATACCACAATTTTGGAAATGTAGTGAGTGTTCAACCAGCAGGTTAACTTACCAACTGCTGCTCGAAAAGACCTAAACTTTCTCAGACACATGACACCATACTTTTATGGAAGTTAACTGATCTGTATGTGAAACAAAGTCATCTGTTTTAAAAGCATTCTCTTCTTTACAGTTAAAATCTTTAATAATGAACCTCTCTAGTAAAATTATCAAGTTATAAAAATCAAGCAAATATATTTTTAATTTAGTAGATTTTAAAACAATCTTGGTTCTTTTATGTCTTTTTTAAAAGTCTGTTTTGAAGAAGATAGCATCTACAGGGGAAAACAGTGTGTTATAAGTAATGACAACTAGAATACAAGTCCTTTGCTGTTTCACACTGTAGGATATTAAGCCTGTCTCTTGTTCTTCCTGGGCCTTAATTTCTGCATTTGGAGAATAAACATTTAAATATGGTCATTGTTTGGTGTTCCTAATGGGAGCCCTGCTCTTAGCCAGGAGTTTAGGTTCCTCTCTGTTGTTCATAGTTGATGAAAGTTATCTTTAATAGCCTTCCTGTCTCCCTGTCTCATCCTTCCCTACTCTTTTCTCCCATTTATTCTTTGCTGCCTCATCTTTCTTTTTCCTTCCTAGGATGTTCCAACAAAATTGGTGGCAAAAGCTGTTCCCTTGCCAATGACTGTTCGTGGACACTGGTTTTTGAGCCCAAGGACTGAGTATACAGTAGCAGTGCAGACTGCCTCAAAACAAGTTGATGGTGATTATGTTGTATCTGAATGGAGTGAAATTATAGAATTCTGTACAGCAGGTAAGGGAGCTGTGGTTTATATTGATTAATGTTCTTGGAAAGCTAATCATCAACATACTTTTTGTTCCTACAACACGAAAATCATTGCAATGGAAGTGTGGTGCTGTTGGTAGCATTGCCTAATAGGTTCATGGTATCATATAGGTTGGAGGGAGCTGAGTTCTAAGACAGACAATTTGAGTGATGGAATCAGACTGTCTTTTTGCTCCATGTATTGCTCTTTTCAAAGTGAAAGCTCTGCAAATAAAATCTGATGCAATTTCTGAGTAAACATTCTTGGAGCTTCATCCTGTAAAAAGAGTGTTCGTGTTTATTTTTCTTTTACTGTGTTCATTTTCATAGATAGTGAAGGGAAGAAACCAGAAACAGCACTTAGGTTAGACGTAGACCTTGGTAACTGCCCAGAAGAAATGTTTTTACCTCAGGATGGGAAGAGCTTGAAAAAGCTACCTACAAACTACTGTCCTGTCTATGCATCATTGCTTCACTAAAAACCTTCCTAAGCAGCCATTTGCCTGGAGAAACCTGATATGGAGAGCCCATCCTCTGATGGGACCCCATATCCCATTTGAATGTTCCAGTATTTTCATGGAAGTGCTGACTTTCTTTCCTTCTGTCCATCTGTTCACTCAGTCACAAAGGGTGTATTTATTGAGTGTCCTTGAACAATTTTGTCATCCTCTCCTTTTGTAGATTAGGATGGGACTTTTTGCTTCCTCTTTACCTGGATGACTTTTCCCTAATTTAAAAAAAAAACCAATTTGGAGAAGGCTAGGGAGATAGCTCAGATGGTAAATGGCTCACCTTGCATGCAAGTGGACCTGACTTGAATCCCAGACCCATTTTAAAAAGCCAGGAGTGGTGGTTTGTAATCCTGGCTGTGGAATGGCAAAGGCAGGCAGATCTCTGGAACTCTGTACACAAGCAGCCTAGCTTTTTGGAAAACATTAGGTCAGTGAAAGACCGTGTTTCAAAAAATAAGGTGAATGGCACTTGACACTTGAGGTGAACTCTGCCCCCACACTGTGGACATACATGCACTCAGATCCATAAAAAAGACTTTAACATGAAAGCCTGTAGAAAAGTTCTAGAAAACAATTCGCCCATCTGTTTCTAGGTTGCTTAGCAACTCTCCCATCTGTGGCAATCTTCAGATAAGACCCAGCCCCTTCTTACATGGCCACACACTTGCGTTCTTTTAGATGTAGCTCATGATTAGCTACTACTTATCCTGGTAACTGTAAACCCTAAGGGCATGTAAAGTGGCTGAAATTCCGTCTGATTGTGGTTTGATCTTCATGCCTCTTTGTTTATTTTATGATTAAGCTGCTAAGAATGCTAAGACTCTTGACTGCTAAAATTTTCAGTATTTGAGAATAAGGTAAAAAGTTTCTTGCAAGTACGATATTTTTTTGATATTTCTCTATATCTCATGGATTATAAGATCCACCATTTTAATGTACCATAAAGAAAAATGCCAGTGTTTTATCTTACTGAATTTATTGATAGACAGTATCAGAGATGTTAAAATGTAAATAAACATTTTAGGATAGATTAAGTATGATAATGATAGTTCAGTAACCAGCAATGAACAACAAAAGATGCCTGTGTTGTATTAACAGCAAGCATAGGACTCTCCTCTGGAGATAACTGTTCTGTGTTTGCTGTGCCATGTTGGAATTACTAGTCCTCTCTGGAATCCACCTCACGTTCAGTCCTTTTCCTGAATCCTTTATTTTTCTAACACCAGGGAGGTTTTATTTAAGTCAGACAGACAGACATGTTGTCCTTTGATTTTGTGCTGTTGGCTGAGCATCCATAGTCCGAAAGTCTAAATTGTAATGCTCTGAAATCTGAACCTTTTAGAATATGTATATATAAGTGCCTGCACAAATATCTGTACTTTGGTGGTGGGGAGTAGGGAGAGAAAGGAGCATTAGTCCACTATAACGAGTTGTGAGCTCTATGCTGCTCACATGTGGGTGCTGGGAATTGAACCAAGTTCTCTCTGAAAGAGCACCAAGTGTTCTTAAGTGCTGTACCATCTCTTCGGCCCCTGAAATTTGAAACTTTGAGCACTGATAAAAGTGCCCAGAGTATTTTAAACTTTGGAGCAGTTTTGATTTTTTTAAATCATAAAACCATTAAAATATATGCAAACATTCTAAACTCCCCAAACTCAAAATCTGAAACACTTCTGGTCTCAAGCATTGCTGGTAAGTGGAATCTACCTGGAGTACATGCATTTTTCTGGATAATTACACCAAACAATATCCTGGTAGCTTCCCACTCAAAGAAGCTACATAATTTTTCTGCCAGAACCTACTTTGTACTAAAGAAAGGTCTGAAATACCATGACTCTTCTAGCTTAAAGAAGACCTTTGGTGGTTCTAACACACACACACACACGCACGCACGCACACTTGCTTGGATTCATAAACTGCCATGTGAATGCATTTTTCTACATCTGGTAATAAAAGGAAGTAAAAGCATGTTTTCATAGAGCAATCTCTCTATTGCTTTCTCATTTTTCCTACAGCTCATAACATTTGTGGGGGGTTACGAGGTAAATGACAAGTGCCAGCTTTTAATTGTTCTGCACTATTTCTCTATAAATTACTTTACCCTTGCCCTTTTTTGTTTTCATAGTTAAAAGAAGAACTTGCTTTTCATGTTTATCATGTGATCCAGGACCATTTCATCTAAGCTTTATCTATGCCCTTGAGTCTGAATTCTAAGAAAGCTGTTTTGAGTCAGTTGTCTTTCTGTAGACCTAGCACTGTGCAAGGTATCAGTTGCTTCAGGGTCTTCAATTTGAAAGATTGAAAAATACAAGAATATTCTAAGAAAAACCATGAACCACAACAAAAATGTTTATGTAGAAATAAAAATAAACCAAAGACAACGAATCATTTCTTTATATCATCCCACTACAAGTTGAATCTCTAAAGATGTATTTTAATAATCCCTGATTTATAAAGCATGTAGCTGGCACTTTTGGTATCATAGTCCTTAATAGACTTTAAAATTTTTCAGATTACTCAAAAGTTCATCTAACACAGCTGCTGGAGAAGGCTGATGTGATCGCAGGACGCATGCTCAAGTTCTCGGTTTTCTATCGGAACCAGCACAAAGAGTATTTTGACTATGTTAGGTAAGACTCACTATATTTATGTGTTTGGGTATCTTGACTACATGTATGCCTGTATACCACATTCTTGCACAGGCCAGAGAGGGTGTTGGGTCACCTGGAACTTGAGTTAAGGATGGTTGTGGGTCATCACGTGAACTGGGAATCAAACTGAATTCTCTGGAATTGCAGCAAGCATTCTAATCTGCTGAGCCATCTCTCTAGCCCAGAGAGACAAAGGCTTTTAAAATGGCATGTTGCCATGGTTCTGAACTTTTACAAACAAATCCAATTATCTTTTTGTTTTGTTCTCTTTTAAAACCTTAGGCTGGGTGTGGTGGCTAAGCATTATAGTACTAACATTTGAGAGGATGAGGCAGGAGGATCACCCTGTGTTCTAGCTCAGTTTAGGTTACAGCCAAGAGACCCATATCAAAACAAAAACAAAATAAATAGGAACCTTAACCACTTTAGAGTTATAAAGGATTTATAACTTGAAAAGACTATATATGAAAATAAGAACATTTGGGTGTTTTTTTTCTTAATTTTTGCATACCTTTCTAATTTCTCTGACTGAAATCAAAGTCATGTTTCCAAATAAGCTCCAAGTTGTGGCAAATGCAAAAGGAGTCATAGAGAAAGAAATGTGTTCTAGAAGAAGTTTGCAGTAGTCACTTTCTTCACCACTAAGGTCATGTACCTGAGAAGAAGCAACCTGTGAGGAATGTTTGTGCCCTACTGCGTCCAGGGAGACAAAGTAAGCAGGCAGCTCAGTGCTGCTTAGAGCACCAGGCATCTTGGGAGATCGCGGCCTGAAGTGCTAGGCTTTACCCTCAGGGCCTACCCCAACGACTTCTTCCACCAGCAAAGCACCACTTAGCAAAAGGTCTGCCACTTGTTCAAACAGCACTACCAGCTGGACACCAAATGTTCAACCATGTGAACCTGGGGGATATTTTCTAGCTGGACAAAAGCCAAGTGCTTTGCTGTGCCGGGTATTTGTATATATTTTGATGACAAGAGAACATGTCTGCCTTTTGTTTGAATATCTTATAAATTCAAATTTTAGTCTGTTATTCCCCGAAATGGCCTAAAGTCTGTATAATTTCTGATGGATGCCATTCACCTAATTTAAACTGAATGACAAATTATTGTGCTTATCAGCTGTTAATTCAGAATGACTAGTACATTCAGCAAGAAAAGCTTTTGTATTTTTAAACATAAAATTTGAAAGCCAAAAAATGTCCACAATTGCTACCACCTCCAATACGAAACACATCAACGGAATATAGTGTTCGATCTTTGCTGTAGGTTCAGGCTCCTGGGATCCTGCCAATGACTGCCAAGTGTGGCCACTGGGGGTCAGTATTTCTCTAGGATGTTTTGAGTCTTCCATGGGAAGAGCCTTTCCATAACTGTAACATTTGTTTAATTTGTTCTCAGAAATGTTTCCAAAAGTACAAAAAGGTAAAAGCAGAGCACCTGGAAATGGATAAAGTAATTGTACATATGATATGATTTAATTTCAACCCATCAGCATGGATGATGTTCATACCAACAACAAAATTTACTTTTGTTTTAATTCCAAAAATAGCAGCAGTAAAACCCATGTAAATTATATCTTGAAGAATTACATACAAATACAGTTACTAAGGCATGGGTAGACATAAATATTTTTAAAAGTTTTATTAAAAAAATAAAAGAAGCCCCTTTTCAGCCGGAGCTGGAGCTCTAGTAGAGTGTTTGCCAGGCATGCGGTGGTGGAGGTTCAAACCCAAGACCACAAGAAACACTTCTGTCTCCTACCCAGTGAACTTTAGTAAAGCCGTTTACTCCCATGGATATTGATTTGCATTTCAGTTGATAAACTGTCATCTAGATACATTTCCTTGATTAGAATCCCTTTAAAATGTTATCTTCAGAATGCTTGATTGGCTGTGAAGAATCTTAAAATTACCTGATAATCTTTACAAATCATTATAACTGAAAAAGTTGTGGATAAGTTCTGACTCAGTCCATGAGGGCAGAACTAACTTTGGCCTCTTGTGAAAATTGACATTAAAATGAGCATGCCCTTACTTTGAATGAAAATCTCCTACAGCCTTGCCCTTGTTCGTGTTCACTAGTTAGCCTGGGTGTTTCTTTACCTGATTGCAGTTTCAAGACTGCCCTGCGATTGGCAGACCACTGTAGGAATTCCTCTACTTTTGCTACCAAACCATTTGTCCTCATAGTTGGTGTTCTGTCACTGAGTAGGACGCATTTCAAAGCTTCAAGTTCTGATTGTGCTTCCTACTTTTATTGTTTCATAGAACTGTACTCGTAGGTTTATGTAGGATAAGTACCTGGGGTTTATGTATCAGAATGAAACAGGGTTTAGAAATTTTGAAGAGGCAAAATGAAATTATATATGAAGGCTTTCCTAGTCCTCCTCCAAGTATAATATAAAAACCTGAAATTTTTATGTAAACTACAAGACTATAAAATGAAAGCTAGAAAGTGGAAATTAGCTCAACTAAAAACCCTGACAGAAATACAAGGTTAAAGTCCCTGTTGTGCTGGACTGTTTGCTAGACAAGCAGGCAACCTAGAAATGACAATGGCATAGATCACAAACACAGAAGGCCTGGTCCCTTTATCTAAAGAACAAGGAAAAAATTGCCACAAATTCAGAAACCTTGGACAGTAAACATCCAGTTTCAGCCAAAACCATGGTGGGTGTGTGGAACTCATCGTCACATGCTACCCACAAAGGCCACGCTGCCTTTTCACCCTTGTAATTAGGCTCTACTTGATCTCCTACTAGAGTATCAAGAATGCTGACTTACTGAGTCAGGAGCCTGGACTTCCTCCCACTGATTATATGGAGTGGGGCTTACAGTTCTGTGCTATGAAGACAACCGGACAGCAATAATCATTTGTCCCAGCTAGATTGTGTTGGCTGAGTGCAGTTGGAACTAGAATTCCCACCTTAATGTTAATGGATACCTAAAGAAGAATTTAGATATCTATCCTTATCTAATAATAATAATAATAATAATAAACCTTTCACTTAGTATATAGTCAGAAGGGCTACTGAAATTCTAGATTGAAATCATACCCAGTGTCTCACAGTAGCCCAGATTTCCAATTAAATTCACTCATGTCAAGAATCAGTAAGCACAGAGTCTGGATAAGGAAGGAATATCGAAGACAACATTAAGATTACAAATCTAACTAGGAACTGATGAGGCACCATAGAAAATACACATAGAAAACTGTTTTGACAAGCAATTGAAAACATACTGGAAACAAAAGTAAAATGTATAAAGCGACATGGGACATGAGGAACAAATGTCTTTAGAGCTGATTAAACACAATATGTGAGGCAAAATAACAGTAGAAATATAAAATAGCAATGGATGGGCTGAAGCAGGACAAGAAGAAAAAATACCAATAAGCTTGAAGAGCAAATAGAAACTATCCAAACTGAAAAACACATGGAACATAAAAATAGTCAGAAAACCATGAATATGTAGGACCACAGAATCTAAGGTTCGGGTTGTCAGAGATCCAGAAAGGACAGGAGGGTGGAGCTGAGACTCCCAGAGCTGGAATAGTTCCAGATTTAGCAAACAGCGTATGCCACTGATTTTTAGCTGAGAAATCTCCAAATGGTATATAAACTGAAGAAATTTATATCAAGGTACGTCAGAAACTCCTGAAAACTAAATGAAAAATAAGTTTCAGATGGTAAGAAAGCAAGTTGGAGAAAATACAGTCTTTGTTCCTGGACAGCCCACTGTTGTTACGTGGCCTCCCTGTGTCCTGGCGTTTCCTTGAATCTACATTTTCAATAAGCTCTACTGGACAGTTGTCAGGTGGTGAATTCTGAGGCCTATTGCTGTCCTAAGGATGGTGGCAGGTCCTCAGCGTGCCTTGCTGTCTCTCAGCCTCTGAGAAGCGTGGTGATGGTAAACAACCTTCCTTACCAGAGTACTACCTTGGACTTTCATGTTCTTAAATATGCTGGTAGGCACCCAGAAGAACTGGAAAATTGTGGAGAGAACTCAATGAGACTTCCATTCACAAAAGTGTAAGCAGAGTTGAGCTACTAAGACACTAAAGCAACCAGTTAATACCAAGACGCAGTATTTCTCTTCTGAGAACAGAAGGGACTCCAGCACAGAAACCAGCCTTGCTGCAGCACAGAGTCCCTGACACATGAGGGCATCAGGAAGACACTCAAGGCTCACCTTCTCTGTGCCCTAGATCTGCTGGTGCTACACACTGCTAGGACAGAAAGAGATGGGAGTGTCAAGGGAATGGATGGGAGAGTCTCAGACCACAGAGAAAGCAACAAAGATGGGAGGCGGATGCGGGCCAAATGAGAGTAGCTGGCACTGTCACACGCTGCAAGGGGTAGCCTGAGAAGCAGCCCGTGTCTAGTTAAAGTGGCCAAAACATAAGCTCCAAACACTTACCCTGGTCTAGGTGGGGAGCACAAGTTCTTACTTTTAATTACTTTTTTGTTTGGTTGGTTTTTTGAGACAGGGTTTCTCTGTGTAGCTTTGGAGCCTGTCCTGGTGCTTGCTCTGTAGACGAGGCTGGTCTCTAACTCACAGAGATCCACCTGCTTCTGCCTCCTGAGTGCTGGGATTAAAGGTGTGTGCCACCAACGCCCTGCTTTAATTACTTTTAAATAGCAAGAAATAAAACTATATAGGCTCCCAAGGCAGAAAGAGATGAAGCATGAAAATCTGTCTTTTGTGTCTTCTCTCTACTCTTAATTTAAAAGCATATTGGGATTCCTTCCATGGCTTTTGCTATACAATTGTTTCTGAAAGGGTTAGGTTCTCTTTTTACCTTAATAGTTTTAAATTTTTACATTTAAAATACATACTCCAACAGGTTGTTTTCAACTGTCTGTCTTCTGTACTATAAATGAACCATCACTTGATCTGTGGGTCTTCTATAGCCAGCAGTCTATAATGAACATTCTTCTGTTATGACAATTGATATATACTGTGTAATAATAACCAATACAGTAGAAAATCTGTCTTCAGCCAGGTGTGGTGTCGTGCCAGCACGTGGGAGGCTGAATTGGGAAATTCTGAGTTTGAGGCCACCTGAGGCTTCAAACTGAAACCTTGTCCTAAAAAAACAATCTACCTCTTCAAAAGAATTAATCCCATTTGTTCACTTCTGAAACTGCTAGGACATGAATATTCACTTAGTCATATCTCCTAAACCTTACAGGCTTTCTTTGTTCTATTGTTTCGTTGGCTGAAAGTCCTGCTAGGTTCAGAAATTCTATCCTCGTGTGTCTTGACAACTTGGCATTTTATTTAAGTATTTTACACCAATGCTTCTGATTGGTTCTATTTTATGATTCTTTATATCCTTGGAAAATCTGTCTGCTATGCCCTGAAGTTGTTTTCCTAGTTGCCTTGTATTTTTATCTAGATTCTCATTTTGAATTGTTTACCAAGTATTTCATATATTATGGATTGTTTTTTTCCTTTGGAGTTGTTCTATTTCATTTTTCTTGGTCTGTGACCTGGTGAAATGTTAAAATTCTATGAAATATCTACTGTGAGAACAGTTTTCATTCAGTATCATTCAGATGGCATGTTGAATTTCAGTTAGTCTGTATGCTTTTGAGTTTGATCACAGTAGTGTAGTGTAGTCTCTGATTTGTCTTTTAATGATGTCCCTGGTATCAGTGGTCTAGGCTGCTGTGGTTCATAAGGCAGTTGTGTGAATTCATAGACAGTGTCCCTGGACTCCACAGTCTAGCACTGACAGTACTGGAACTTGTTGAGTGAACAGTCACAAGGTACCTCAGAAGGACAGACTCCAAGAGTTGTCATAGCAGCTGCTATCTTCAAACCACTGAATGCGAAGGAGACATTCCTGAGATCTCTGAGGAGGAATGCGAGCGATGCCTAGGTCAATGGCAGTAGCCCAGTTCCGGAGTCAGAGGATGGACCTTCCTTGGTAGACAGCACACATTTAAACCAAGTTCTGCTTAGCAGTGTTCAGATATTCACTACTTCAGTAGTTTTCTTTTTAGGAAAGTCACTTATGAAACCCATTAAGTACAAATGGAGCTAGTCTCACCTGTACGATTTCTAATGCAATTCAGTTTTTCAGTCCAGGAAATTTATTGTATTGTTAAAGAACTCCGAAGGCCATGATAAGTAGTATCAAAAGATATATTGCCATTGGTCTGGTGATAGCCTGGCTACCCAAGCCTTTAACAGTGGGTAGTAATTTCTGTGTTATTCCAATCTGTAAATCAGTAAATTTGCAACTATTGTCCTGAGCAGTGGCTATTTCCTTTCTGTTGTAGAGAACACCATGGGAATGCTATGCAGCCTTCTGTCAAGGATAACAGTGGCAGCCATGGCTCACCCATCAGTGGAAAATTAGAAGGCATCTTCTTCAGCTGCAGCACTGAGTTCAATACAGGGAAGCCACCCCAGGATTCACCGTATGGAAGATACAGGTTTGAGATTGCAGCAGAAAAACTTTTCAACCCCAATACTAACTTATACTTTGGGGACTTCTACTGTATGTACACTGCTTATCATTATGTGATTCTTGTCATTGCCCCTGTGGGATCACCAGGAGATGAATTTTGTAAGCAGCGCCTTCCTCAACTAAATTCCAAGGATAATAAGTTTTTGACCTGTACAGAAGAAGATGGGGTGCTGGTGTACCACCACGCCCAGGATGTCATTTTAGAAGTCATTTACACTGACCCTGTGGCTCTTTCTCTGGGCACGGTAGCAGAAATCACTGGTCATCAGCTCATGAGTTTGTCTACTGCAAACGCAAAGAAAGATCCCAGCTGCAAAACCTGTAACATCAGTGTTGGACGTTAACGCCACTTGCGTATTCTCCCTACCCTGTCTTCCCATAGGAGCATTGCCCTCTGTTGTTCATTTTCCTCAGCAGATGTCCCACTGAAGCATGCATATGCCGCTGTCACCAAAAGCAAACTATATCATTCAGAGCCTTTCCGTGTCTCCTCTTGCCCACCCTGTCCACCTCCAATGATGTCCCCAAGTTGTCCTGACACTTTGTTTGCCTAGATGCTGCAATGCTTTTATGTTTCCTTTATGCCAAACATAACAAGACAGTTATATAGACCGCTTTAGCAACGTACAAAATAATGGCTTATAAATGGTGTTTAAATATGCATCCATTTTAATCTACTGAATAAATATTGGGATAATTCCAAACCGCATGAAAGGGTGTAATTGCAGCATGAGTTAAATCTTAAAGCCTAGAATTGTCAACACTTCCACCTTGTTGTTTGACAGTGTTATTTATGTTATTTATATTAGCTAACAAAACAGTTACTGTGCTTCAACATAATAAATATAATAGAAAAATATTTTATTTGTATGTTGTATAAAATATTTACAATCATATAGAATATAGTTACATTTTAATAGCAATTGTATACATCTCACGAAACCATTTCCCTTATCAAAGATGTAATTTGTAAACCTTAAATAGTTGTGTATCTCTGTCCTGCTACCAGTAGATGACTCCAATTAAACAAATTTATCAAGGCCATTACTCTGATTCATAGAAGATTTAAAACATAAGGTGAATACAGAGAAAACAATATGCCTCTGATTTAGTCCGCTTCTGGAACCAGTATTTTTTTCTGCCTAAGCAATATAAAAAAATGAGTTCCTTCAACACCATGCTTAAAAATTACAGAAAACAAATATGAACAAAGTTGAAGATGAGAAAATGTCTTACTTGATTTTACAAAAAACAAAACCAATAAATGTGTTTTAAATGAATGGAGAAAAAAGTAAGATACACTAAATAAAGCAAATAAAAGGTGTCTTGGTGATTTCCAAGCTCTTCACCCTGCTCAGAATGAATGCAACTCACAAGAAATTTGTTTCACTTTATGAAGTACAGACCTTGAAACATTAAGAAAGATGCATATTCCCAATGGAAAAACAGTTATATAATCTTAGTGTAGGAAACAAGAAAATTAGCAATAATACTATGGTCACTGGGTTATTAGACTGCAGACACACCTATCCAAAATACCTATTTTAAATTTTAATATTTTATTTTAATATAAACATTTGTCAGTTATAGACAAAGATAATTCACAAAGTACATGCCATCCAAATGAACTTTGGTAACCAGAAATGTAAATTTTCAAATAACAGATAAAATAATGCACTATTTTCATGTAGAAATAAGAAATCAGTGACACAGTCGAGTGTATTTTAGAGTGTTTACAATGCCTACAGACTTACAGGACAAGGTAGCGAACGTGTCTCACTTAAATTACCTTCTTGCCAGCTGTTTTCCTCCCTGGACAAAGAGCAGAAGTCTTTGTCTCACCAATTAATTTAAACCCTGCTCTTTTCCATACATCAGTGAAGTCGATCTTTGGCCACTAGTAACCTTCCCTAGCAGGTAGTCTGCCTATATGTTAATTTAGGTTTGACAAGATAGTAAATTTGTTTAAACAATTACATTTTACTGTGGATTTCAGTTTGGTGTGGAGCAAGCTGAATGTTAGACCCAATAATACCTATCAATTCCCTAATTAAATCCCCTTCTCGTGTATATTACACTAGCTCTTCCTTTGTAAAAACAGCTAATACTATCTCTAAAGTGCTTAGTTTTCAGTACATCAAAACTACTTAGCAAGAACAGTAGAGGAAAATAAATGACTTTATCTTGGGTGGAAGTGATCAGAGCCAAACCTCAAATAGTTTTAGCCACATCCTGCTTGCTGATGAGGACCTCCAGTAGTCTCAGTTTGGCTTTTATGTGCTTGTATTCATAATACTCATCTGCCATTGGCATCCTGTCTTCCTTCTGTGGACTTCTGCAGACAAGAAGACACAACTATTAGTAGATACATGAGCCATGTCATTAAAGGTCCTTTTATAACAGACAGGGGAGTGTGGCTTCTTTCCATCCCTTCAGCCTCAACCTGTTCTCCACGTCTCTAGTAACAATACCCTTTTGCCAATGTGTTTTGCAAATGTGAGGTCCCCTACTCATGCACAGAACAATGGTGCAGGTGAAGATGTAAAGAAAAAGAGGTTAGAGCCTCCCTCTGAGGAATCCCTTCTCTACTCATCCTCCTCCTTGTCAGAGCTCCATGCCTGTGCACAATGCTCAGTCCTTACCGTAAAAATTAAAAATAGCATCCTGAAAATACTACTGACATCTGATTAGTGATAAAAACTTTCCAGGGGCCATCTTAAAAGCTTGACATGTTCTCAAGTTTTTCTTGTAGTTAAACCTGTTTCTGCTGATGTGTAGTAGAACTGCTGAGCTTCTCCTTGACAGATCTAATCTGTGAGTCTCAATGAGGGCCAGTGAGACTGCTCGGTGGGTAAAGGTGCCTGCTACCAACCAAACCTGATGACCTGCATTTGATCCTTAGGATCCACATGGTGGAAGGAGAGAGCCAACCCCAAGTTGTCCTCTGGCCTCCATACGTAGGAATACATTCATAGTTTAAATTGCAATAGCTTTCTTTCTGCACACTATTTCAAAGACTGCGCATGCACCAATACATAGACTTTGGTATAGTCTACTGTGTGTTCTTGTTCTATTATCATGAATGTTTACAGTGTTTCTAAATATATAGAAAATCCATTCAAATGATCGTTTTAGCTTTATAAATGATTAAATATTAACAGTAACGGTCTTAGGGAAGTAAGATTAGAGTCCTTGCCATTCAACTGTTTGAGTTTAGCTTTAACATATGAGCATTTTCTTATTAGATGACGTATCACCACAAGAGGGCACATTACTTCACACAGAGCAAGCAAGCAGACATATCTAAAGTAGTTTAGGGACTGTAACTAGAGTAAAACAAGCTCTTCCTTGAGTGCAGTAAGTCATGAATGAGTTGCAATCGTGTTCTTCTGCATACTCATTCTTAGATATATACTGATGCATAGATTTTTACATACACACAATCAATAACTGTTACCAAGAGCAGGCAGAACATGTTGCCATGTTGCAAAAAAAGCATGCCAAATTCTACTACTGTAGATCCTATAGAAAGGACTGCCAGCACACTGGAACCTCTCATACTCTAATGCAGACTCCTGTTTCAAATGGGTAAAATTTAATTTCCTCAGGGAATTCAAAGTAATGAAAAGACTAAATGTGAAAACTTATTTTTCATGCTCTGACTATTGGGATTTGAAATCCCGAAACCAACTCAAATATTTCCCCAAATGAAAGATTCCAACTGAATAATTTAAAAAGTAACTTTAATGTAAGTCAGAGATGTACTCAAGCACCTCGTCACCATATTACTTTGTTGAGCTACAAGGTTCTCACCTAGGAAGCCCACTGCTAATGGATAGCCCTGGAAAACAGAAAAGCTATCCCGGATGATGATACGAGCAGGCTTAGCTTGGATGTCTCAAAGTGCTTTAGCACAGTACCACTCCCTCACAGCAGCCTGTGGACTGAGAGGTAATCACAGCAAGGCATGAAAGAAAGGCAGTTGGGAAAATAAGCTCATGCCAGTGTGTCAGTAGGAAGAACCACACAGTTCATCTCTGCACTTAATAGCTCTGTGATTTCAGGGAAGTTGTATGCTTGCTTACCCAAGGAGACAAAGCATTTCTGCTTATTGGTGTAAACAGACAGCTAAGTAATTTGTCTCTTCTCCCAAAGACACTAACATTCATTACCTGGTGACATACACAGTTTTGCTGGTAACATATGAAAAATTACAGGAAATTAATGAGTGTATAGTAACGGGTTGAAATAGAAAAACATAGGAAGACAGATGGTCCAACTAAATATTTTGGGGAGAGAAAAATAGCTATGAACTTCTGACTAAACCCTGGAATAAAGCAAACAGGAGATGGGTGGTGAAGTTTAGAGATATTTAAAGGAAGTATTCATGTAATAGGTAGAGAATAAACTTATGGAACTAAGAATCTAAGAACAAGGGCTGCAAATCAAGTCAATTTTTAAGCGTAGATAATATCAGCAGATATAAAGAATTTCCTGAATTCTGTTTTTGTAAAGACTGATGTTAATACCTGGCAGCTATTAACATAAACATCCCATAAAACATTCCTCACAATGTTACCTTGGGGTATTGCATTGTAGAAAACACAGTAACTAGCTAGGATTGACATCTTATCACTGTTACTAACAAAAGCAGAGTTCATTCTGAACTATAGTTCTTTAGGGAATATTAGCATTAAAAAAACCCTGCCTACTCACTTACCTTCCTGTTTGTTTAAAAAATTGTTCTTCAAATTCTCGCAGGGCTTTCCGTAGCCTCTTCTTGTCAGCCCTAGTTTCTCGGAGATGGTCAAGAAGGACGGGCCTGTGTCAAGTGAAACACATTTGCCTTGACTGAGCACCGGCCTGAATTAGATCAGATCAGCAAATTGGGCCCATTATGACAGAAAAGTTATTATGAAGGAATGTTCCAAATGTGGCACACATTGTAAACGTGACCTCCGTGTAGGAGCAGCACACAAGCCAAGTATTCCCTGACATTAACAGTGTCATGGACACAGAGAAACAGTGTATTACATCTGCTGTTTAAAAAAAAAAAGGCTAACTGTTATGGTGCTATAACAAGATGACAGGATGGAGCAGACATCTAAGGAACACAGACCAATGTTTGTTGACCAAGATAAAAGAGATACAAGAGGGAAAAAAATACTGTGTCCTTAGAGTGTGGGAATAAGAACAAAACCCTTGGAATGAAACTTAACCAGGGGAGGGCTGACATTCCGCTGCAGTCTACATGGTGGTAGAATTTGTCCATCCTTTCAGAGACTGAACACTCAAGTTATATGCAGGCATTTTCTCTAAGTCAAATCTATCAATTTCAAATATGTCCCTACCCACTGAAATTTAGGGATGACTGTCTAACAGCTATCACACAAAGCTAAAAACTACTTACTGCCCTTGGTTTCTCATCTCCATTTGGGATACACACTAAGTAGAATATATAAGGGATATCAAAGAAGACCTCATAGTGTGGGAGATACATACAAACCAAAAAGGTCACATGATCAAGAGACATGCCAACAACTGAATGATGATAATAGTAATGAAAATCCAGAACGTTCTTTTTTTTTTTTTTTTTTTTTAGGTTTTTCGAGACAGGATTTCTCTGTGGCTTTGGAGGCCGTCCTGGAACTCACTGTGTAGACCAGGTTGGCCTGGAATTCACAGAGATCCACCTGCCTTTGCCTCCCGAGTGCTGGGATTAAAGGTGTGCGCCACCAATGCCCGGCATCCAGAACGTTCTTAACTGAGAGTCATTAGGAGACAAAAGATCCACTCATTGACTGATGACGGAGGTTATTCCCCATCTGCTACACTATGTCATCTGGCTCTGGCCACTGT